AATGTTCCCGACGGTTATTTGGACCTGTTCAACCATTCAACCATGGTCTAGTGGTTATGACGCTCGCCTTGTCAGGGAGAGGTCGCAGGTTCGACTTCTTGTTATTTAGACGAGCATCAACTTTTTTTGTCATGACACTGTGTTTGAAAGTGGATAGAGACATTGCATTGTAGTATGCGCTATATAAATGGAAGACCATGACCATGTTTGCTGGGTAGCATTGAAAATATATAAATACAATATAAACAAATAGTTAAATAGGACACACAGAGAATGTCAAAAGACTAGGCCTACTGGGAAATCATTTGATTTTATTCAGCATTAAACAAACAAATACAAAATTTAAAACGTGATATTCATTCATAAAATACAACATGCATTTTAAAATTTACATGTTGGTACTTAGTATTATTACATTACATTTTTTCTTTATTATTAAACGAATTCATTGGGAGTTGTTTTACTTTTTGCACATTATTAAAGATACTTTCTTTCGTACATCTAACACTTTGTGCTCGCACAAGTGGAACTATATATTAAAGCTATAGATAGAGCCGTGTTCTGTTTGAAAAGCTTGGTTTCCATACCATCGTTACGCAGTCGCTACAGCTTTTGCACTGAAATCCTTGCACTGCGTGCTGTCCCCGACGGATCGGAAACGCTCCCTGATTCAACCGACCAATCAGCGTTGCCAAATTAGTTGGCAAAACAAGTAGCGATTTTTTTGGAAACCAGCCTTCGTTAGGCTGGTAGACGTATGAAGTATAAAATATGAACACTGGTAGCACTTCAATTATTTGTTACACAAGCAGTCTATGCTGACTTCATCAGGTGTATTGATATTAAAGCTACAAACTAGTAGCTTGGAGGTTTCAGCTGAGAAATCATGGAAAGCTTGGTTTCTACTATACAATCGCTACACTGTCGCTACAGTGTTTTCAATGCAATCATTGTAGGTCTACTGCGTAGCAGTAATCCCCTACGCAACCGGGACACAGACTTCCCGATTCGACCGACCAATTAACATCACCGAAAGCTGTAGGCGATAGCATGAAGCGATTGTATGGAAACAAAGCTTAAATAATAGACACAAGACCATCATAGACAATTATAGTAGGTACAAGATACAAGATATATTTATTTTCTTATCACATAAATCCACGAGGATGTTTTTCCTTGTTTTACATTATTAAAGTAAAGGTTAATTGGAAATTGTATAAACAATTGTATAGAAAGCAAACGAATAAAGGCATATCTGAATTTATCATCGCATCATTCAAAATGACCGTATACGTATGAATTCATTATATTAGACAGATTGAAACTTCGTATTGTTTTTGTGTATAATATGACAAATGGCAAACATAAAAGAAAATAAACGTATTTCACGATAATTATGTTATTTTCAAATGTAGTTTTTAATGGTGTACGGTACTTCTTTCAGTTTTATTAAGGTCTTGGCCTATATTTTAATATCAGCTTTATATTTATGTTTTCTGTAAGGAGAATATATTAACGTATGGTTGATTGAATGGTATTAAGACAAATTTAATTATTATATTAGACAAATCGAAAATTTCGTTTTGTTTCTTGTGTAATATGATGAATAGCAAATAGAAAAAAATAAACGTTAGTCTGTCACGATAATGATATTATTTTAAAATGTTTTTTTTTTCTTTCGTAATCATTAAGGTTTTGCGGCCTATATTTAAACTTAGCTTTGTTTGTTTTTGTTTTGTTTGATTGAATAAGTAATGAATAAATACTTTAAAATGGGACAGGTTCGGATCCATTTATTTCGAACGGGGGTGGGGGCATAACATATTCAGAATGAATAAGTGAGTAGCTCTAATTTCAATATATGCATTGAAATTTTAAAACCTAGTGGCAAAACGGGGATGGGGGTGGGAGGGATTCGAACCTGCGAACCTGAGGGATTCGAACCTCTCGCTGACAAGGCGAGCGTCACAACCACTAGACCACGAAGACTTCATGGTTGAACAGGTCCAAATAACCGTCGGGAACATTCGGTTGTATTACACAATGCTACGCCTCAAGAGGGCGTTCGGCCAGATAAATCTGGTAATACGGCTAGAAATACTGTCGTATATTATATATAATATTGAAAGGAGTTAGCCGTTAACACTGTTAACGGAGGCATTTTAATGATATGATATTATTTTAAAATGTTTTTTTTTCTTTCGTAATCATTAAGGTTTTGAGGCCTATATTTAAACTTAGCTTTGTTTGTTTTTGTTTTCCTGATCATTCCTGATGATGACATAATTAATGTCGAAATATTGAATCCCAACACGATGGCGTGTATTTCAATACTTGGAGTATGTATTATACTTTCTTATCGGAGGCATTTTATTACACAATGACTTTTATAGGATTTCATTCGTTGAAAGCTACAGGGTAGCCTACGATGTTCCATCATGTCCTTATATAAACACTGTATATGTACCTTTGATGATTTATTATTATATTTATTCAACAGTGTTAACGGCTAAGTCCTTTCAATATCATATATATATATATATATATATATATATATATATATATGTATGTATATATATATATATATATATATATATATATATATATATATATATATGTGTGTGTGTGTGTGTGCATGGGTGGGTGTGTGTATGTGTGTGTGTATATATAGAAATATATTTTGATACATTAAGAGATAAACTATGAACCATACCTTTCGGTAATGCTTTATGATAGCCTATATTATTTATTAATTGATTGATAGGGATGAATAGTGATATATAATTATACTGATTATATATCAGTATACATAAAAGTGGTTTGAACGCCAGAGCCAGAACACAAATAGTTTTAACCACGGGTGGCGCCAGGATTTGCCCAACGGGGTGTCCGACGTTCCCGACGGGGGCTGTAGTCGGGCTCCTCTCAAAATATCCGACAGTGGTCCAGGGGCTTGTACAAATAAACATTCTAATTTTTTTTAAAATTTCTACCTTTATAGCTCTTCCAAAAAACCCCAATATAGTAACTTGTGCCTGTACCATTAAGTGGGCAGGAATGCACGGACCAGTGAGCGGTTGCTCTTGTTTGTGGGGGGGGGGGGGTGGCCTGCCCTTCCCCACCTATTCAAATGATAATTTCCAAGCCCACGTCATACGCCTATGAATTGGTCCAGGAATTGACTGGATGTGAAACAGCAGACTGACAATTAGACTAACATAAATTAAAAATGGAGAAAAATAAACCATCACCCCACTCTTTTGAAAGATGTTCGTAAGTGGGACTGGAGAAAAAAAAACATTGGAAGACCCGGGCATTGATCCCGGTACCTCTCACATGCTAAGCGAGCGCTCTACCATTTGAGCTAGTCCCCCTCCGTATTGTTTTTATGTCGTTTAATCAATATATCTGTAGTCATAGGTGGGAAATCATTTATGTATTATTTTTACTAGTTTAAAAAACAAATGCATCGCCTAATTCATATTTCTTTTATTCTAAAATGCCTCTTTAGCTTTTTCGTCCAGTTTCCATTGCTGAGATAAATATGGGTCTTGATCACAGACAAAGCGCGTATCCTCCATATTGGAACAACCGAGTGTGTAAATGGGGGATTTATTCGCAGTGCTGAAAATTCAACGACACATTAATTGAGGCTTTATCATAACTGGCATGCTAATAAAATATTGGAAACATTGTTTATTATAATTGAAATATAGATTTTGCAAGCAGAGTTAAATTGCAGACACAAAATTAGATAATTTTAATTGTACATGTCTTGAGGTGTTTGGATTATTCCACACTAATGGAGCGCGCCATTTTGGTTTTGTGCGGAGTGTTGATACTCATCGTAGATTAGATTATTATTTCTTGTTAAACAGGAAATATATCTATAGGGGTCAATTCCAATGCCTAGCAATACATTTTAAATCCTTTAAAATGTATATTAAGCAGGTAAGTTGTGCATATTTTCTAGTAATATATACAGATATCCTAGTAATTATGATGGCTAGGCCTACCGACGTCTGCTGCAGCAGACCAGAGAGGGGCCAATCGCCGAAGCCGTTTCCTCACATCCTAACAAACAATGCTCACGCAAACCATTGACATAGTGCAAAGGCTTAGGCCTAGCTTGTTTAAAACTTTCTGTAGGCCTATATAGGATTTTTAACAATTATATTTAGGCCTTAGTTCTTTATTTTGATATATATATATATAGGACCCTAGGCTAGGCTATCTATGCTAATTAAGGCTTTATTATTATGATAAAAAAAATGCAAATTATATGATTGAGTTGAAGGAATGATGAATGTTTGAATAAATCCTCTTTTTGTACCACAATATCAATTACGTAATCCTGTTCTTTTTTCAATACCAGGGGGAGAGTCAACGTAACTAATAATGGGTTTATCAGTCTTCTGCCTAAGTTATACAATTCTTTATGTAAAACTGATTTTTCTATTGAAATTTTCTGTGATTCTCTTTATGTGTTTTCGTCAACAAGTTTAGTCCAATGTTACTAATATTTAGTTCCTCATAACTTTTTATATTCACAAAAAATCATAAATGAGGAAAAACATAGACCTAGGCTAGGCTCTGCTGACTGACAAATTTATTTCCAAATCAAATTTTAGTCATACAGTATCATCACAGAGCCATAAAAAGATTAACGATAAAGTTAATTTTAACAAGTAAGTAGAAGTGTTTTTTGTCATAATTATTAAAATGTGTTTAACTCTTTTTTTTTGTGAACAAATGTACAACAATTAAATGCTAGTAGTGCAGTGTAGAATTGATTAAAAAAAAGTAAATGCTGTTTTATTCTTGATGATGACAGAATTAATGTTAAAAATTGAATCCAACACAATGGTGTGTATTCCAATACTTGGAGTATTTATTATACTTATCTGTTTTAAACTCATAGTCAGATAGAAAAAAGAAACTAAAGTTTGTTTACAATTAATGATTGTTTACTACTTAACCTTTTTTTTTTATTGAAAGAGTCAATATTATATTAATATTTCAAAATATTTTTCAATTATTTATTCATATATTTATTGTTCTTTTTAGGTAACAATCCAGGGATTTAGAAGTTATCGTGACCAAACGGTAGTAGATCCTTTTAGCCCCAAGCACAATGTAGTAGGTAAGTCTCTCTTTGAAAAGTATTAATGCTTTTAGTTAAGGGTATTCTAATAATAACCTTCATTCACCCTCATGTATGTAAAATGCAGGAAAGCACTAAATTACCTCGAATTACTAAGGAGAGCAATTGCTCTCCTTGAAAATTTCAGAGCTTTGAATAGACCCCCCCCCCTCCCAGGGGTGGATCCCGGTATCTGAATTATGGGGATCGAGATAAAATACTACTCTAGGGGGATCCAGCATGCCCCGGGGAAATTTTGTTTTCTGGGACGCCTGGAAAAGTAAAATCTGAGGCATTTTGAGCCGGAGAAACAGGTTTTTATAGCACACATTTATTATTATTTGGGTATATTTTATTGTAAAAAAGAAGCTCGCATACAAAACAGTCTGTTGCAGCATATGCTGAATTGAAAGGCTGAGTAAAATTACAAAGATATAAAATTGGAAATTAAAAAATTTACAAATCAAATCATTATTAAAATATTGCAATATTAAATATGAAATTTATTAGCGACAGTAAAAAGACAGACAACATCACAAAATACAAAGACGAGTTACAAAAGAAGAAATACAAGACAAATTTAAAAATTTAAGTTAAAGTCAATAAATATATATACAATTGTTTACTTTAAAAATTTTCACATGTTTTTATTCAGAAATTATAACAGTGAACACTGCATAGCAGTCATTCTTTCTATAACATTACTAGCCTCCCGGCAACCAGAAGTCATACAGCGAGTTTACAAACATGTGCGTTAAGTGAAGATGTTCATGAAGCTACTCACATGACTTTGAGGATGGGAAAAAAATTGTTTGTTATTGTTTTGAGCGAACCGGGTTGAAACACGTACAATGTGTTTCAAACATTGTTTATGAATGAACGTAATGTGAAAATAATTATTTAAACAACCCAAACCATTGCTTGAATGTTGTAGGAATCTTTGTAAGTATAATTACAATACTAGGCCACAGGGCTGAAAATTAACCTCAAAACCATAGTGGCCAGCAGGGCCAGTAAGGAAAAAATGATACTGGCCCTTCCAAGGTTATACTGGTCCTATTTTTTTTACGGTCCGAAATATAATTTTACGAAAAAAAACAAAATCAATAAAACCAGCAAGATGACATTGGTGTAATAATTGTTTTTAGCCAATTGAATCTGTCTTTAACCAAAATCATTAGTCCGAGAAAAAATCCATTGTATTACTATTCACGATCGACACAAGAGTTTTAAAAATGTGATTTTAGACTCACAGAGATTGGCAATCAAAATAACATTATTTGATAGGCAAATTATTATTTTTAGCACACAACGAGGTACAGTAATTCAAAAGTTTTCTAAATATAACACAAAAGTTGAAAAAAAGGCCTAGGCATAAAGTATTTTCCTTTTAGTTTAGAATGATATCGGGGTGGGGTGGGGGTGGAGATCGTGGAGCACTGAAAAAAGCCTACTTTTGGGAGTTAGTGGAACAATAGTGTCTCCAGAAAATCTGTATTTTATGCATTTTCAGCATAATTATGTAGCAGGACATAAAGGATTATTCAAAATTGGCTTGGGTCTGATCGTCTGGAAATAGGCCCAAATTTTTCACTGCAATGATCAAGGACTTACGATCTGGACGTACTGTAGCCTAGGCCTAGTAGTAGGCTAGGCCTAGCCTTGGCAGATTAAACCGCTACTACTAGGCCTAGGTATGTGCCTACTGCCGTCACTCTGCTCTAGTACCTACACCGTGTAACAGAGCAACCCACGTGTTGCATTCTTAAAATATTACATGCATTACTTAAATGTATTTTACATATCAGACGAGAACACTAAATCATTGATTAAATAAATGAATGACATTTCTACCACCATCGCATGCATAGACCTTGATCCTAGGCCTAAGCATAGGTAATCCTCCATGGATAAACAAGCTCGGAAGTCGTTATGTACCCGACAGTCGGCTGCCTTTAGGTATACTTTGTCGCTAGTTTGCACCCAAAGGGTACACTTCCAGCTAGCCGGCTGTCGTGAATATAATTCCTTCGTGTAATCGTCATACATGAGGTGATTCACCTTCATATAGTCGTCGTCATATAGCCACTGCCCTGCATCCACCGCGTTAAAATAACGAATAACAAAATTTGAAGCACACAATGACGTTTGCAGCTAGACTACCAATACAACAACACAAATAAACTTTGCATGGCTATGATGGATTGGCGAAAAATGGAGCTCGGACGGAAAAAAAACGATGTATTTTAGCAAGTATTTGAAACTTTTAAATGATTTTAAGCCTTCGCCAAATGGCTAAAAGTAGTTGGTTATTTTTTTCACCAATCCAAAATAGGAAGGGTCGCCAAACGGGGCGATACCCAAAACATTTGTTATCGCCCGACACCAAAAAAGGTCGCCACTTGCGACCGGGCGACCACTAATTTCTAGCCCTGTAGGCCAGCAAACCTAGGCTAATTAATTGGGTGAGGTAGCCTGGTCTTTACCTAGATGATTTTTTCCTCCGCGGGTCGCGATCTAAAATGTTTAGGAGCAGGTTTATATAGGCTGCACCCTGAGTTTTGTGGTGGAAATCGCGTATAATATCGCAAAATTCAATAAATTTTTATTATTTACAATGTTTCAAAATTTAATATTTGTCATTTGTTTTTAGTTGCCTGGTAAATTAAGGAGCGCAGTTAGTTGCTCTCCTGAAAACGTGTTCAGGAGCTCAGAGGAGCACGATCGCGCTCACGCTTGAAATGATGGACTGAACCTTAATTATTGCTTTTTATTCTGTATTCTTCTCCAACTGTATATAATGAAACCAGTGGTTTAGAATTTATTAATATATTTTAATATTTGTATTAAATTTGCGTATTAAATTCAAAATTAACATGTACACATAAATAATATACATACACACTCGGGTACTGTATGTTCTTAAAGTATTATTAAATTAAAGTAATACTGTGTCTATTTCGTGAATACTTAGCTGGATAAACCAACTAATTGGCTATTCTTTCTCAAACATGAGAACACCCCTCGAAAACAAAATGGAACAATCGACCCTGGCGCCAAGCACAAGCAATTTATATTATCTATGTATGTGCATCTGACTATATTGGCTGGTAATCAGTTTGATGTATTTTTTTAAATCAGAAAAGCATAACTGAATTTTTTTTATACAAGTCTTTTATGATTTACTTGATTCCTTTAAACTTTCTCTTGTTCATTGCAATGAAAATACTGTCTTTTAACATGATTAACTTTGTTTTAATTTTAAATACTTCATAAAAATGAAATGTATTTTTAATGATACTTAAATGCAATTGTTTTAATATTTTAAAATTGTATTATTATAATAATAATTCAAATTCAATATATATGTAATTTGTAAATAAAATATAAATTTGAACGTTTACTTTTATTTAAAACATTTAATTTTTAAGAACTTCATAAAAATGAAATGCATTTCTAATGATACAGTACTTAAATGAATCTCATACTGATACAGTATTTATGAAGATGGTTTTTTTTTTTTTGTGCCATTTTGGTTCCATATTGTGTTTGTTGATTTTCTTTTTATTGTTATTTTGTAATGTAAATACTGTCTTTTAAAATGATTAAACTTAAAAGTGAAATATCAATCATATGTAGTTTACTGTAAGTGTCTTCCTTTATTATGCAATTGAATCCAATATTTTCTACTGTACAATAACCAAAGATTGTGTGCGCTTTTTCTGCAGTTGGAAGAAATGGATCTGGTAAAAGCAATTTCTTTTATGGTATGTGTATATTAACTTATTTCAAAAAATATTTTTCTTGATAATTATAAAGCAGTCATCCAATCAACAATACCACAGCAGAATACAATGATAAGTGGCGCTAAGACCGTCATTTCTCAAAGTGCACATAATGAGATTACTCGAATTAGACCTAAATGAATCAAATAATGTGACTATTATACAAACACTAAAAGTGCTAAAGACTAGCATAATGTGTTATTAAATTGCAAGAAAATAGTGCAGTGGGTTTGGTTCCCTGCACTAGTCTATTTTTGTGGTTTTCCTTTTTTGGTTAATTTTACTGTAGGATGGTTTGTTTGGTGTTTTTTTTTTCTCTCTTCTTTGAATCTCCATCATTTTTTCTGCTTTTTCTTTATTTTCACCTTCCCTTCGTTTACTTCAGTGTGGCGCTTAGAGACCTTGTTTATTTGTCCCTTATAATTCGACCTATTATTATTTTTATTATTTATTTTAATATATCTAATTATTGTGAAATCGTGCATTGGTTAATAGTTTTTTAAATGAATAATAAATTATCATCATTTATTTTGTAACTGAAACTTCACTCAGTGGGTTTTTTTTTTTTTTATACAAAATTACAGTGGGAATACATCAATATAAGCAAAACCACAGGATTGAAAATGAGTTCTCAAAAGGCCGTTATTACAGTACAATGTATCAAGAGTAGTAGCAGTCCTTACCAACAATTCCAAGCAGTTTCACTATCCCTCCCCTACTCTGTATACCTTAGCAGTAGTCCTATATGACTTATTTTTGTCTGTTTGAGACGGATTATTATTGGCTGTATTTTTTAAAATTTAAGTAGTTGTAGTGTTAGAGGGTAATTCCATCAAAAAAATATATATTTGCTGTATATTATATTACTGTATATGAAATAGTCTGAATCGACAATAATTTTCAAAGTGGATTTATGTAAAAGATAGTTTTGTTTTCTCATCAGCCATTCAGTTTGTGCTTAGTGATGAGTTCAGTAACCTCCGACCTGAACAACGGCAGTCACTGCTTCATGAAGGCACGGGGCCTCGTGTCATATCTGCATATGTGGAGATTGTATTTGATAACTCAGACAACAGATTACCAGTAAGTTACTTTATTTTAAATGCACCATTGTTTACAGTATTTGAATTTTGTTAACACATTGGCTGTTACATACATTAAGCCATACAAGTTGTCTCAGGACATTTTGTGGAGGACATTTTTGGAGGAATCAGAAAAAATCTTGTTTACAATGTCTGCCATACTGTACAAGTTTTTGTGCCGCTTGCTGGGATGCCAGTGTAGTTAATCGCAATACAATGCTTAAAGTGCTGCCCTTATTTTTGGCAATCTCATGAATGATAGCTTGCATATTAAATATGGTGACCTATTCGGCTACCTTAAATTTTGAATAAGCGGTGCTCTCGAATAAGCGCCACGCCAAACATGATTTTTGTTTTGCTAAGCGCCGCTCTCAAGTTTATTTATAATGATGTAGGGCTTATGATAGGCCTAATAAGGTATGGGAATATGTGAGATATTTAACATGGGAACAGGCATGGAAAGCGCCACACCAATATATTTTAATAAGTGTCGCTCTCGAATATGCACTGCATTGGAGCCTCCACAAATTTTATAAGCCCTGCGGTGCTTATTCGATTATTTACGGTATATTACTTTATCTTTTTTATTACTATTCTTGTTTTTCTACTTCATACAGATTTTGTAATATATATATATATTTGTTCTCTTTCATTAGATTGACAAGGATGAGGTAACATTGCGAAGAGTCATTGGTTCCAAAAAGGACCAGTACTTCTTAGATAAGAAAATGGTCACGTAAGTCTATGGTTATTATTCTTTAGGTTTAAAGAATAATAATTAGATTTTATATTACAATATACAGATCTACCTGTAAAAAGATTGCCAAATTTACTTGTAAAGATGGAGGAAATTTGAAAATTAATGTACAAAATTATCTAACGAATGACAAAAAAAATGGATTTTGATATTATTGTAATTTCTGTACAGAAAAACTGATGTGATGAACCTGCTGGAAAGTGCCGGATTTTCCCGTAGTAATCCATACTACATCGTGAAGCAGGGTAAGATCAACCAGATGGCAACAGCGCCAGACTCACAGCGACTGAAACTTCTTAGGGAGGTTGCCGGAACAAGGGTCTACGATGAGAGGAAATCTGAAAGCGAACAGATCCTGCAGGAAACTGGTATGTATAATATTTATTATAAAATAATGATTGTATTAATAATAATGACGTAATCATAATAACAAAAAAGGGAAGGTACAGCTTCGTTGTTAAGGTTCTTGCTGTCCAATCTAAATTCTGCGGCATCAGGATTTTTTCTTACGACTAAAGGCCTCACACAGCGACTGAAAATTGTATAGAGCATATTTCAAAAACCGAAAGGTCCACTGATTAATCTCGGATAAGAAAGTATAATACATTACAGTACTCCAAGTATTGAAATGCATGCCATTGTGTTGGGATTCAATATTTCGACATTAATTATGTCATCAACAGGAATATTTTGTTATTTAAGAAAACCTCTAAATATCAGCTGGCCTTGGATATCCTGGAAGGGTCATTCTTTATAAATGTGATTTTGCAAAATATAAATAAAATATTTTATGTAGTAAATATGTAGAATTTATTGCATTAAATGCCATAAAACTGATTTAACAAATACTGTATTTCATGTAATTCATCCTGAAACAACACTTTTATGATAAGGTATAAATTTATGTTAAAATTAAATACACAATCTATTTTAATTGGTGTTTACAGAGGGGAAGCGAGAGAAGATTGAGGATCTTCTGAAATATATTGAGGAACGATTGAAGACATTAGAAGAAGAAAAGGAGGAATTGAAACAATACCAGAAATGGGACAAAATGAGGCGCTCATTGGAATATACTATCCATAACCATGACCTCACAGATACCAGAAAAAAGCTGGATGAGGTAGGCTACCTCAGATAAAGATTTTCATGTCAGAGAAAGCAGCTTAGCTCAGTCAGCTAATCTGGTGGTGGCCACTGTGTGTGTTTGCTGAACCGTGGAGATCTCTAGGTCCCCAGTTCAATTCCCATCGCTGCCTCTCCTTGTGTTTCAGGTGGAGGGCTAAAATACAAGTTACAATAGCACACCGTTTTTCAGATAAGACGTTTAAGCCGTTGGTCCAGTGTGCATTTATAGCCCATGTGCACATTAAAGAATGCAGTACACTCTTAGGAAAAGAGTAGGAAATTGTCTCCCGGTGTACTGTCCAATCACCACCAGAAGGACCCCACTGGAGATAAGTCTTCTTCTAGACTTTCGTGGGCTATCCTTGGTGTTTACACCGAATAAATCCAATCCAATATTCATGTATTTGATCAAAATTTGATATATTGTGCTGTATCCTACAAATCCAATCCTTAGTTTAATTTATTTATTGTAATGCATTTTTTCTCAAATAGCTTTCTTCTAAACGAGAGAACAGCGGAGAAGTATCTAAGCAACTACGAGATGTTCAAGAGGAGGCGTCCAAGCGAATCAAGAGCATCAATAAAGAGCTGCGAGAAATAAAAAACCGTGTACGTAGCGTGAATGAGGAACGTGACCAGCTGACTAATGAGAGGTCGGAACTACTCAAGCGTAAAGCAAAGCTTGAGTTATCCGTGAAAGACTTACAGGAAGAAGTCCGAGCTGATGCAGATGCTAAGGTAAGCATGTGCTACGAGAATGATGCCACTGATCAAAATTGTTAATCCTTGTCAATTATGCATGAATAATAGGAAGCTTTCAGTTGCACGACAAACATAATATCTACAACATAATGATGTCATACTAAGTCATCTGGGCATGCGACAACTTTGATATCTCATTGTAATCTGACTTCTAGGATGCAGTTAGGCCTGATTCTACACTGTGCAGAGAAGGCAGGATAGTTATGGATTAGTGAATCTGCTCTATGTTCATGTTATGCTAAACAAAATCTCCCTAATGCCTTTCATATATTCTTTACATCTGGCTAAGAAATTGAAGAATTTTGATATTTGGTATAAGCTCACCTCCTCCCCCTGTTATTACATAATTGGGCCAAATTTGAGAGATGAGCTTATGCCAAGGGAATCCCCATTTTAATAAAAAGGCTTGCATTCCTAAATGAAAGCTAATCATCGAAAATATTTTGAGAGTTTTTGTAAGTCAGTGAAGCTACTCATTCAATTCATATCGTGGGCTTTTGCTCGAGGAAAGGCTTGTACATAAAAGTAGGGGGTGGGGGTGGGTAAGCTTATACAAGAGGAACTATGGTATATGAGCAATTTAAAGTCTTAAGTAAAGGTTCACAGGTTTTCCAAATTTTTATAATATTCACCTTTGGAATTTATGTATTTCTTTTTTTTAGGCGAAGCTGGAAGAACAATTGGAGAAGTTGGATGGGACCATAGGAGTGAAACAGAATGAGCTAGAAGGCATCATGCCAAAATATGAAAAGCTGCAGAAGGATGAGGAAGCCATCAGTGCAAGATTACAGGCTTGCGAACAGCGAAGGACAGAGTTGTTTGCTAAGCAGGGAAGAGGTAATCAGTTCACCACCAGAGATGACAGGGATAAATGGATTAAGAAGGAACTTAAGTCTCTTAGTAAATCCATAAGAGATAAAGATGAACAGGTAAGCCCTTATGGTAATTAGTAATATATGTGTACTTGCATAGCACATATTACTGGACAGTCTGTATG